TCTGTAGAGTGCTGCCCACACCGTGCGTGCTGCCGAAAGCTGAGACTCCCCACATAATCCTGTTTGGGTTTTTGGTTTTTTTTTTTCTCCAATCTATTAATAGAACAGAATACTAAAATGCTTAAATACTCATCATGAGTAACTGGGCTGCTTTTGAACTGAAAACAAAAGCTGCCTACTGAGATTTTTTTTTTTCTTGAAGGCTAGTCCCAGGTGTGTTAAATATGGACTTCTTTCTTTTTTCTTCCATACTCCTAACCAGGACATACCCAGTGGGACCAATATCAGTCATAGCTGCAAACTCCTCTGTGAGAAAATGCAGATTATGCTATTGAGCTGTTTTCTCTCTTCTTAGAAATTACACTGATCCTGTAAGCTTTGTAAAAACTGGGAGAGGTGGGTAAAGTGGATGCCCCCCACCAGGCAAGGTTTGGAGGAGCTGGGCAGAGTCGGCTCCCACACGCTCAGCTGAGTGGTGGCTCTAGTGCCGCAGTAGCGCCTGCCTGCCAGAACACCGCTTTATTTTTGTCCAGCGATTATCAGGAAGGCTGTCTGTCCAAGAGGAGCTGGGGATTACAGGGCAAACAACACAAAGCTGTAGGAATCCAGGTTTTGTCAGTTGTCTTGTAGGCAGATCAAGCTCGCTCATGTAGCTGCCATCTCTTCTGCGGGTTTTCTCTGAACATTCTTGCTGAACTTAATTTTGGGTGTTTCCCCAGATGCTGTCTGCTGCCCGTGACTTTGCTTTGCTTTTGACCTGCCTTCTAGACAAGGAATAAACATTGGAAGTTTGCTTATCTGAAGCTCTGTTAATCTATGAATAAACTGGAAACTGCTGTATTAATTTGAAATATTATTTTCAGACCCTTGAGTTTGAAAGCTAAAAAAAAAAAATAGTAAATGTAAAAATCTTCTAGTCTCCAGGAATTTCATTATTAAGAAGAAAGTTTTGGATGTTTGTGATGAGGGAAGACGACTCCATTTACAAGGAGAGAAGGCTGGAGCTTACAAACCCTCATGCAAACCAAGTTTTATTGTCATTGAAAATTAAAAAATCACAAACACAAAACCCACTAAAAGACAAAGCAATCCTCCCCCCAAGGAAAAAATCTCCCAAAACATTGTCTGCAGTGTTGTGTAACAAAAGTGATAGTGTTATGCAAGGGGGGGGGAAGAGTCAAAAAGTGAAAGGACTATAAACAAAAGCTGGGAAGGGAGTGCCACCCTGTGTGCAGGCAGCTTTGTGGTTGGGTTTTGTTGTGTTTATTTTAATAGGGTGCTGCTAATTACCAACATGAAGACACTAGTTTCAGGATTTAGACAAATTCCGTGGAGGTAAACCTGGTACTGAAGGTTATAACTCGGAAATGTCGAGTGAGGACTAAGAAATGAGCAGAGGTGGCAGGGGGGAGAGGAGCAGTGGAGGAGCAGGGTCACTGGGGCATTAGGGACCCGTAGCTGTGGGGAGAGAAGGGAGCAGGGTGCGGGCTGGGGGAGCGCTGGGGCTCTGGTAAACTGCAATTCCTGGCTGTATCCTCCTGGGTAATTAAGGCATAAAGTCACTTTGAACATGTACTGCGCATGTCTGGTACCTGTTTCTTCCCTTCCCCAGTACTTATTTTACGTCAGCTTTTCTTTTTGCAATACTTTTTAGTCTTTCAAGCGGAGTGCGTATTTAGCAGTTGAAAAGCAAACTGTTTGCCAGTTTAGTAGTGTTTCAGCTGTTTTGGTTTTGAAACCTCAAGTAGTACACAATGGAAAAAATCCTTGAAATGGTTTACCTATGACGAAAAAGCTTTTCCCAGAATGAATATACAGACTCTTCCTGAATACTATGTTACAGTACTTGTCTTCCATCCCTTTGCACTTTTTTCCCTCCCTCCCAGAAGATAATGTGTTTGGCTCTGGAAACTCACTTCCAATAAGGGTGGAGTGAAATTATTTTTTGCTGCTTTCTGCCAAAATTAAATAAAATATGTCAAAATGAAAATGATATGAATTCTTGTCAAGCCAAGTACTTGTACTAAAATTGTTTTTAATTTTTTTGCAGCTGATACTTTGTTTTGCTCATATACCAATTACTTTTTTTGTGTGCTTGTGTGAACTTCTTGGAGAAATGCCAAGGACTGGAGACTGGGACAGTACCAGCTTTTACAAAGTCTTTTTGATATCACTGAAATGAGAGAAACACACCTGAAGTATCTCACACCACTGTCTTCAAGGCAGAAACATTGTGTGAAATTTGCAAGTTACTGGGTAAGGGGTTAATTGAGCAATTTCTCTCTTAAAAAGCATTTTAATTATTTTTTTTAGCTATATTGTAATTTAAGTGTCTTCTGTCAGGAACTCCTAATTAGTGGTTTGTCAGTGCTCTTTAGTTTAATGTTTGTGGTTCAATTTGAAGATACTTTGATTTCTTTCTCTCTTTCCCCTAAAAGAGAGGGGAAGAAAGTCCCCCAAACTAAAACAAACCTTAAAATAATTTGCTAATGGTGTTCATTGCAATTTAGGAAATCTGAAACTGTACCAGAAAAGTATGTAGTATTTGAAGGGAATATGATCAAGTTAAAACACAGCACTCTGAAAATTTTGTGCTGCCAGTTTTTTAATAGCCTTTGCCTTTATGAGATACACATCTCCAAACTTCTTGTTTGCTTGAGCAGCTCCTCTAGTGCATGTGGACATTTCCTGGCTTTCAGGAGCAGCAGTGTATGACCACTCGGGATAAGGAAGGGAGATGGTAAGGTTGGAACAGTTATTGACTCATTGCTCGGTGTACATGGGTATCAGGCTGACAGCGTTCTTCTGAGAGAGCTTCTTGGAGTCCTCAGGGGCAGATCCAACACGGAGACTCCCTTGAATTCATAGTAACCCCACAGGGAAAGTGTGGGCTTCATTTCTCTCCCCCTTAGGTTTTAGCCATGCTGAATCGCTTTGACTTACTGTAGCTATTTTGCCATATGCAGAGCGAGAGGAGGCATAGGTGTCTGAATCCATACTCCTTTGGATTTAAAAATTCTTGTGCCTGCTAGCTCTTAGAAGAGTGGAAGGACACAAAGCCACAAGTCAACCAGATGCTGAGAGCGTTTTTGAGTCACCAGAGCCTTTGTGATTTGAGGCTCCAGCTCTCATCAGTGCCTTTCCCTATTTGATCCCAGTAACAGGGCTCTTAATAGAATGGCTGTCCACCAGAGAGGACTTTGTGCTGAATTCCTCTAGGGTCTGAAGCTACTGGCTCGTTGGTAAAGATTAAAATCCTGAGGATTTTAATAGTACTGTCTAGGATTAACAGTAGGACCACCAAACCTGGTCCCTGTGATGCCAGGTAGGTGATGTACAGAGATGAAAACCTCATGGTTGAAGTGTATGTGGAGCAATGGAAGGTGAATAAAGCACACAGAGGGTGTTAAGGCAGGATGGGAGTGTGTGGCTCTTATGTTTTTCTTCATGTTTTGAGGGTTAAGGAGAAAATATCCAGGCTGGTGTTTCTCAGCTCTCTGAGTTTCCACATCTCCCTTTACTGCTTGCGTCTTCAGTGTAAAACCTGTAGTTATAAACAAGCTAAGGCTTCAGCCAGGGAATTTCTTTTCTTAAGATCCGTGCTTGGCAGTCTCAGGATCATTGACCCCTCATGGGATCTGTGCATTGAAAATTGCTGAGCTAGGTAGTTGCTGTGGAGATCAAAGAAACTGAAGACATTAAAGGAGGGCAGTGGAAACGCTGCTCAACTAGTACACTGGTTAAACAGAATGTGCTGTGGAGTTACTGTGCTAGCACTTACTTTTGTTACTACTCATTGTTTCTGGTTTTGTCTCTGTCCTCTTCATGAAGAACTGATAGTAGCTTATCTTTCAGGCTTCTGTAGGCCATGTTCAATTAAATGTTTCTTTGGATTTATTTAACCATCTCCTAAACAAAGCTGAAAGTACAGCGGAAGGCAGTGATTCCTGCTCTGCAGGCTGTGGAACAGATACAGTATGACATGGCAGCATAGCTGCTGACAAGAAGTGGAGAAGGCTGACACTGATCTTTTGGTCCTAAAGTTTGTGATCCCTTCGTCAAAGCTATGGCAAGCCACAGGCAAAAGGGGTTGTCAAGGAAAACTGTCTGGTTTTACTCAAAGAACTATGGAAGAGTATTGTGTTTGTATTATGCAGTACCTGATGAGTAAAGAGGAACTGGATGCACAGGCATAGGAAAAATTTTTAGGAAATATTTAGAACTTAGTTCTCTTTTTTTAAAGTATTAGCCTTGATGATTGGTTTGTAAAGTGTATTTGTGAGAATATATAATTAATTATTTAATCAAATACTTGCTTTATATAGATTTACATTGAATATATTTCTCCTGTAATGCCTCTGAGTTCATTTCAAAGTGTTTCATCATGTGGTATGTGTTCTGCTTTGCTGAACTTGTAAGAGGTGGCTGCATAGCTCCCATTTCTGTGATGCTGTCAGTGTTGACTCATTTAAGCAGAAAAAAAAAAAAAACTTGAACAAAAACAAAATGCAACTCCAAAAGTAAGTTATCTCCAGAGTAGATTAAAATAGAATCCAACCAGAGTTGTGGGGTGGGAATGTGTAGGTGTGCATCTCTCTGTGTGTGCATATGCATACATACTTGCACACATGTTTTAAAATGCATCCTTCCAGTCACATGGCTTATGGTCATGTTTTCCAGTTTGAGCAAGGTTAGATGACGGTCTGGAACTTTGAGAGTCTTATTTCTCAGACTGATAGGATCAGAAATGCAGTGAGGTATGAACACTTACTCCCCTGAGAGGTTAAGGCTTTCATTGCACATGGAAAAACAGAAAGACTTTTCTTGTTTGACTTGGGAGGGAGCATAGTCTATTCGTGTTCTGTAGATAATGTCCTTTTTTATGGAATCTTTGAATAATGTTGGCATGTTGAAAGAATTAAATACCTGACAGAGTTGTTGTATTTGTACTGTGTCATGAAAATGAGAAAATTTACATGGCCCATGTTATTTTCAGGTTTGCTGTAAACTACCTACCGTAGCTATAATGACACCAGCCCTCAGAGAGGCAGCAACAAAAGGTCATGGTATCCACTTGTCACCTTCTTTGTCCTCTAGAGCTATGGAGTCTGATACAGCTTTGTGCATGGAAAATTCCAGAGCAGTGGAAGAGAAGATAAAAGAGGACTCCATCGCACAGATTACTTGCTCAGTCCTGGGGTTCCCCACTGCTGAGCCCAGCCTCAGGAATGATATCTTCAGTGTGCAGCATTTTGGTTCTCCACCATCCTCCAAGCGCTATCAGTCGGTCTTGTTAATGAGTACAAATTCTGCGTTTAGCAACAAAACCGGTAAGCAAACGAAAGCGGGAGAGCCTGACTGCTCCAAGATGAGAAATTCATTACATAATGGTGCTGACACATCATTTGGGCAGATTAGTCATTCAGAACCTGAGGAACAGGTCAAAGGGGAAACATTTTCAGAGACCACATCTCCGAATTTGGCAGAAACGCAGAGACTTTCGGATTCAAATGTAACTGAATCCAGTAATGCAGAAGAAATGCAGCTTTTAAATGGTAAATGGTACAAGAAGAATGGTTTTTTGGGTAGGGCTTTGGAAGTCTGCACTGAAACAATAAAAGGGGATTTATTACACCGAATTCTTCACGGGCCTTCAGAAGGGATTTTGAGCTGCACCCCGAAGGAAGTGTATGCTCGCTTACTCCAGTGTGTCACTAAGCAACAAATGGAAATCAGTCGCGCCAAAAGAACTCAGAAACGTTTACAAATGCTCCTGGCAAAGCACGTTATCAAACACTGTGATCAGCAGCTGAAATGCTTCATAAAACATCAGCTACAAAGAATGAAGGTTTTCCATGAGCCAACCAGATTTTCGAGCAGTAGCTCCCTCAGGTGCACTGAAGGTTGGCCAGAAAGCAACACAACAACTTTGGAGAGTAGTTTGAGCACGGACGTACAGAATGGAGTTAGCGTTGCACCAGGTGAAATCCGGGGGTTTGCACTTTCTACTGGAGGGCTGCTGTCTCGCGTGGAGAAGGATCTGGACTCTGATGCAACATGTAGCAGCTCAGATGAAGATGGTGAGGAACAGACTGTAAGAACAACTGTGGAAGCGTAAGTGTTAAATTCCTGCTAGACTCATGTGCTTCATGCTTATAAATCAAGATGGAAGGGTCTAGATCTGCAGATTCCTTCTTGTGTGAGTAACCTCACTCAATAGATAGTCCTACTGAAATCAGCAGGGCTGCCCATATGAGGTAGGTTTGGCAGGGGACAGGCAGAAAGTAAGAACTCTTAATTACAGAGTTTAAGGAACAGTTACTTTATTAGACTGCAGAGAGCTAGATTTTGTACTGCACTCTATCAGTTTGCATTACATTAGTACTGATAATTATTCAATGCTCACATGGTGCTATAAATCAAATAATGATAGCAGTGCTGTAAATTATATTTTTGGCCAGTATGAAAATAATTTTAATTTTTTTCTAGAGTTATTAAGAGTTAGTCAGTGTTAGGATCTTGAAATCCATTATGGTGTGATAAAGAGTAAGAACTATCATGATGCAGGTGTCAAGCCATCCAGTATTTGGGGGCTGTATATTGAAAAAGTTTGCTTCTTTGAATTATAATTTTAAAAAATACTAATTTACTTACTGAAGGTGTTCTGCTACTGTGAATTAAGCTAGCAGTGGTGTTTTTATTGTTGCTTTTTCAAGAAGAACCAGAGTGAAATTAATATAATTAACTAATACTGTCTTGAACTGACAGGGATCCTGTCAGTATAAATTATTGTAGCTTTGGAAATCAGTTGTGGGTAAAAGAAGTAGATAATAAAATTGTTCCCTGTTCCTTTTTTTTTTCTTTTCATTTTTTTTTTCCCCCTACCTTGCTTCACTATTAACACAATCTCTGTGGACAAGAAATTTTTAGAAAGCAGTAAAAGACAGCTGCTTTCCCCTTCCTACAGCTGGAGAGAACAGAGTGTCTCTTAAGGTCTGTTAGGATGTGACAGCCAGGACAGTGACACACGAAGTAGAGCTTCACACTAACAAAGCAGCTTGGTAGGAGCTTCATGCACTTACATTTCTGGTGCTTGAAGTCAGGACTGGTTTAGTGTTTCCTCATCTTTTATGTGCTCTGCTGTTAGGGAGTGTCTAGAAAGCTTTAAGAATGACACTGGTGTTTGAGGAAAAATAAATATTTTAAAACATACGGGTTTTTGTCTGTTTCTTGAAAAGCGTAATGTTCAGAAGAAATCAAGGAAGCTTCATCTTAAACTGGAAAAGAGCTGTGCCCTGTTACATGTTTATAGCTTCAGTTAAGGAAGCTTCAGTATAGGATGGTTGTATCAAATCACTGCTGTGTTTTATTACACTCTGTTGGCCTGGAAAACAGAGAGCAGAAAAAATGCAGAGGAAAAACTAGTTTTTGTTTTCTTTATGTATTGCCATAAAGGTAAATACTGCACTAAAGTCCAACCAAAGCATGATGACTTGCCAGCTAAGTTAGGATCACCTTAAATATTTGAGTTTGCAAAAGAATTATTCTCCTTTTGAAATATTTTAATGAAAAAACAGCATTTTTGGCTCTTCCTAGCGCAGGAGAATCCGCATTCTTCTAGCTGATATGTTTGAACTTCTGAGTAATAGCTCTGCCTCTGGGATTCTTATCTTGTGATTACATGAACTGAAAAACTGAAAAACCAGATGAGAAACTCTGGTTCTTGAAGGGCAGTGGATAATCTAAAAGTTGGACTGAAGTTCTGTGTGAGGGTTTTCTTTTTAATTCTTGCCAGGGACAGTTGAGTTTCTAACTCTGCCTGCCAGTCCTTTACCTTTATTTCTTCTTGTGGCTTTTGAATTCCTTAAGTTATCTTTCTGCTTAGGGCTTACTCGGTTTGTTTTGTTGCCCTGACAAAAAAATCCACAGAGGATTATTAAGTACAAAGACACCACCTTTGGCTCAGGAAATCCCCAAGCTGCTGTTGCTGGCAGCTGAGGGAGTATTCTGGAGAAGCACTGCTCCCTCCATGCCTGCCCTCTTGTAAAACACTTGGCCACTGCTAAGAGGCAGGACACTGGATAGATCATCTGTAGTCTGACTCAGTGCAGCCCTTTATTTATGGGTTGTTTTTTCCCCCCCTTTTTTATGTTCTTAATGCTAAACAGCAGTCAGGCAGGAGGGGTGAGGAGGTTAGCAGTGTAAGTGAGCTAAGGCCTGGCTGCATTGGCAGGGCAAGAATCACTGATGTTTGAACTGTGTTGCTGGGACCAGCAAGCTCAGAGTTAAAGTACTATCTAATTTAAACAGAAGACTCTTGTCTGTGTGCATAGGCTGAGGCAATGCTTGAGTTAACATTGCAGTGAGGGTAGGCTGTCTCTTACTTCAGTTTATCATTATCTTCATCTTGGAATGGTTTTCTTAATTTCTCTCGCTTTCCTGAGATTTGTCTTTTCAGCTAAAAGGCTGCATCTTTTATTCTAGCTGGCAAAGGCAAATCAGTTACTCACTGGTGCAACTGCTGAGATTTGCTGTTTCCTGAGCTTTTTCACTTTAAGGCTTTTTGGATTGCCTTTCACCTGGACAAAAGTAACAAACAAAGTTAACATCCATTTTGATTTCTGCTAAGTGGATTTACATTCTTTGAAATGCCTTTTTCTCCTAGGGAATTGGCTCTTAGTGCTTTTCAGAAATAATGTGAGCATGAGGGTAAGAGAATAGTTTCGTCCTCACCTGTGACTTTTCATAATGAAGACTTCTACTGACCTGGAAAGACTCTTTCTCTATTATATTCTTCATAATACTTAATTGTAGATGTTATACAGTTCTATTAATGCAGTGATGAATGGGAAAAATGTTTTGGGTGTGCCTGTATCACAGTATACTAATTGCATTTAACTTGAAGGTATAATCATACTGGTGGCTGGTTATTTTCATGACTGGTGGTTTTTATCCTTTTTTGGGGGGGAGGTGGTGTCAATCCAATGTACAAGGCGGGAGGAACCTGCAGTTTCCATGTTTACCTGAGAACAGTCTGTTTCCCAACAGGAGGGAGAAGTTGATTGTGGCTCCAAGTCTTCATGGTAGGAAAAAACCCGGAGCTATTTTTAGCATTTTGAACCTGTTCATTCTCATTATCCTGAAAAGAGTTTTGCCCGATGAGTGTTGACATAAGCTCTTCTGAGCTGTACCTCAATGCTTTGTGTCTCAAGTAAGATTGTCTTTATCCATCTATTTCAATACCTTTGTTGTTTAGTTGCAAATAGCTGTTACAACTTTTTAGACCATTGTTCATCCCTTGTGCATTACATAGCTGCTGCCCTCAAGACGAGAAAGATCCTTCTTCTGTTGGTGAAGGCAACACTTCTGGTTGACAATTCACAGTACTTATAGAACTTCCCTAGTTCCTAGAGTAATTGCAAAGCCTCATCTTATTTCAAGAGCTTAATCAAAACATATTTGATCCTTTGAGTATTTGCTAAAAAGAAGTATGGAAAAACAGTTGGCTCTTTGCAGGAGTTCTGTCATTTTCCTGCTAGTGTCAGCTCATGAATGTCTTCAACCTGTCCATTTTCATGGAAGGTTTCTTAGGCAAAGCACGGAATTTCTCTGAGTAATTTATGGTGTATTCTAGTACCGCTCCAGCCTTTGGATGTTGGAAATGCCTGAGACACTACACAGGGGATAGTGTAGTACTTCTCTCTGGTTTCTCAAAGAGAGATGTTGGGTCTGTTCGCTAGCTCCCTGTTGGGTGTTCGCACCCAGAGTGGACAGAGGGCCTGAGGAGGGCGTCAGAAAACTGACCGTAAGTAATTCCCTCAGGAATTCACAACTAACATCAACCACTTGAAATGCCACGTAGACAACATTTCACCAGCTGAGTTTACTTGGAACTTGTTTATCTTCTTTGTGGTTCATGAAGATGGAAGATTATCCATAGAAATGGTCACAGATTTCAAACAAGGTGATTTGAGGGAGGATGTGAGCTCTAAGTTTTTTTTCAACACAGCTCTGCTCTAGGAGTTATGTATTGTATCCTTCCAGGCCAACTCCACATCCTTATTCATGTATTTTATGTGTATACCTGATGTGGTTAGAAGTTCTGGTTGTTTTATAGTGTACCACAAAGAAGTCTGATGCTGAGGTGGTAATTTGGGAAACCTTTTAAAGTTGCAGGATACAGAGTTTTTCTTCTACATGTGCTACCTGTATGAACTTCCAGAATCAAAAGATATGTCACTTGGGTTCTTCGAAGGCACAGCTGCTCACTCCATCAAATAGTAATACATGTAGCTAATTGATTAGAGAGAAAAGCTGCTTGCAGGGGACTTTTTTTTGCAAAATAAGTAGCTCTGTCTACTTGTGAAAAGTCCTGTGCCGTGTTTCTCCAGTCCTCCTCCCCCCATCTGAATACAGTCCTTTTGCATCATTTGGTTGGATTTTTTCCTTCTGAAATATTTTCATGCTTTTCCTCTGATTTTTGAAAGACATGTTTTACTGATTATCTTCCATCAACCTCAAGCCTGACGAAGAAGCACTGGTGTATTTTTCCATGCCCACAGGGCTTATTGTGCCTGGAAACTTTTACAGTGAATGTTCAGAGATAGGAAATCCTTCTCTTTTCTTTTTTTTTTTTTTTAATTTCTCTGTTCTTTTTTTCCCCTTAGATTGCTAGTTGGAAAGAGAGAAGATGGGAGATCTGCTTTTACAACAAATACTTGGTGGGGAGGGGAGCAGTAAGGCAGAGAGAAGACAGGAAGGAAGAAAATATTATGACTAATCAGATCTAATCTGTTTGTTCTAGATTATTTTCCATTTTTCCTAGCAATTTTCTCATGGCTAGTTGAGCAACATCAATGCAGTTCTGCAGGCCTCACTATAGAAGGCACTGCTTAAGGGCTGGGGATTGTTGCATGTCTTTGAGCCATGTTATAAGGGGAAGCTGTTTGTTTTTGCAAGATCAGTCCCAGTTTTCCACTCTGAGCTGTAGTTTTGCTTCATACCTGATATCAGAACTGAATTCTGGTTTTGGGAAGGGGAGGAAGAGAGTCTGCCAGGACTAAATACCGCTCTCCATTTTTCTTGAACGCAAAACCCCAATTGTTTCCAGTTTTTAAG